ATATAAAATTCTCAGTAATTTCTTGTAACCAATCTACCCTAACATCGGAATATTTTCAATGTTTTTCATTTAGTTTAATGAGATAGTATCCTCGGTTATTTGCCTAGTGAAAAGTCTTGTAATAATTTGTTATTTTAAAAGTGTCCTAAAATATCGAGAATTTCTTCGTGGATTATTAACTTTCCAGAGTTGGAAATCAATGGGGATAAAGTTTTTTGTAAAGTTTGTGCCAAAATAGTGGTTTGCGAAAAAACTTCAAAGTGGTTCAACACGTGAAAACATCATTGCATAAAGCCAAATTGCAAAAAATGAAATCACAACCGGTTCAACAATGCGTTGTGAGGTCATTTCAAAACGCCGACAAAACAAAAAGTGACAAGGAGGTATTTAATCAGGACTTGTGCAAAGCTCTTGTTGCGGCAAATATTCCATTAAAGAAGTTACAAAACCTACATCTAAGAGAATGTTTACAAAAATATTGCAATAAAACCATTCCTGACGAATCTACACTCAGAAAAAAAAATGTACATGCTATATATAAATGTAATAGAAGAAATTAAAGTGTTACTGGATGATAGCAATTTTTACATCATTGTTGATGAAAGCACAGATGCTTGTGGAAGATATATGGTACATCTTATGATTGGAGCCTTAAAAGAAAATGAACCAGGTACATCATATTTAATTGCATCAAAACAGTTAGAAAAAACTAACAATACAAATGTTACCCGATTTATTCAACAATCTCTAGCAGAATTTTTTTTACCAAATCAAATTCCCTCAGAGAAGTTCTTAGTAATTTTGTCTGACGCAGCACCATATATGATAAAAGTAGGGCAAAACTTAAAAATATTTTATCCAAATATGGTCCACGTTACTTGTCTTCTGCATGGAATCAACTTAGTGACTTTTTTAACTCGTTTTGTTAAACTTTATGTAGCGCTTCCTTTATGGAAATAGTCAAGGTGAGTCAAGGTTATTGTTTAACTTCTTTTGTGTTTTTTCTGTTATTTTGTATATGTTAAAGTCCGTTCATGCTTTTATAATTGTTTTTTATTACAACTGACTCCTTGACATTCCATTTAGGTGTGCCTGATGATGAAGTGACAGCTTCGAAACCGGTCGCCAATTAAATTGACTTGTGAGAAATAAAGGACCTTTTCTTTAACCCCTTACACTTAATATTAATTAGAACCCAACAGTGAATGGTCAAGTGGAAATATTCGCTAGGCGTCAGAATTAATTTTTAAATAAATTAATTAATTTAAAAAATCGCGTCCTGGCTGGAATTTGAACCCGGGACCCCTAAGTCCACAGGCCAACGCACTAACCACTGAGCTACCCACCCCCTACTTTTTTTTAAGTAACAAATATGCATTTGCATATTTAGGCATAATTGGACAAAATAACTGCATATTTTTGGTAAAAACGATGCATATATATGCGCATATTTTGTTATATTTTGATGCATATATTCCGCCCTCTACTCATAACATTTTATTAAAAAGGCATGCGACATTACAATGTCGACTGGTTGAATATCACTTGACTTTAAATCTACCAACAAATGTCGAATTCGCCATTCCAGAATACGTTTTTGCATTCTTAATCGACATTTCATCAATGTCGCGTGTGACATTTAGAAATAGACATTCGAAAATAGGGCTCCTGATAGATAAAGAAAATTAATATTATGGAAAAATAGATATTTCAATACAATGCTGTGCACAAGGGATATGTAAGAAACCTAAAAATACCTTGCTATGGCCTAAAATGTTAACTAGATTTTGATCTTTTTTGTTTTGGAGTCCGAAAAATGTCTATCTCTATCTATGAATGTGGTGAAAATTTAAGTCAACTGCTTATAAAAAACTGTTTAGAAAAAGTAATAAAAAAATAAAGGCGTTCTAATTATATGCTATTAGCTTTTGGTTGATATCGGAGCATAGGTGATAATATTATATATACAAACACGTCAAATTTAATTTGCTCCCAATACGGCCTGAAATACCAAAGCAAGTTGGCTTGCGAAGTACAAAAGATGCTACTGAAAGGAGAGTAACGTAATGAATTTTGAGTAAACACACTATATAAACGGATAAGCCACATTTCGCTAGTTCATCGAAAACTTCCCTTTCTTGCATTCAATTCGATCTATTCTCTACCAAACTCGTCTTCTAATAACCTCCTAAATTTCAGATTAGCATTAAGCACAAAACTGTTTCAATTACTGGTAATTCTCTCGTCTAACATTCCAATCCTGACTAATCTATTTCACGTTCACAGCACTGGAAAATTCCCTGCCGCTTACCGAAATTATAATTCGCTAATGACCATCCGATTGTTCAATATTCATATTGGTTACGTTTTTGCATTACATTTCCCCTTCATTTGTTCCCGTTATAGTCTAAAAGCCAACCATAATTTTGGTACAAACTTAGATCCGAGTATAGCTAACCTAATTAAATCATTTAAAGAAATTGAGTTTATTAGGTTAGGTTAAATGAAAAGGATCTTAAATTGATTGCAAAAATTAAATAATGGATTAGGTCTTCACCCGGTTTCTCTCAAGACTCGGCAGTTATGAAATGTAAACTTTTAAAACAAATAAAAGAATAAATGAAAGATCTTTTTATGATATAAATATAAAAATGCTAAAAGATGGTATGAAACTTCAAACTTAGAAGCATCAAACTTTTGCTGTCAATACACTTTTCTTACTAGCTTGTCACATACGTGGTGGTTGACTAGTCAGAAGAAGAAGAATGTAATTGATAAACTGTTAAACATAATGTACCTGTTGGGTATATGATATGGTTATCGTTTTTCATAAATAAATTGGAAAGGCTATGAAAGGTGTTTAAAGAAGTGGAGATTACAGCAACATCACATGTCAATGTCAACATGCACGCACTCCAGGATATTATACCAATTCAGCCTTTCATCTGGTAACTGTTTGATTAGAGAGATCTCTGAAAAGTAATGAGGGGCCTGGGATGTTTTTGTAGATGTAGAGGGTGCTTCTAATAAGAGCACCTAGAAGAGGCCTAGACAAGTTTGGCGTAAGTACTGTGAGGTGATCCACCCTCTTTATCTTTATCTTAAACTTACAAATGCTAAAGGCCAGCAGACAATCGTATGTATAAGGAAAGTAATGTCCAAACAAACAAGTAGAAAAATTGAAAAACTGGCCTCTAACGGTTTTCTTACACGCAAAAAAATTAGGTAAGATTGTTTTATATATTACTTATAAGAGACTATAATTTACCATACAATCTATTTTGTTTAAAGTTGTTAGGATCAATTTGGAAGGATCTTCACGGTGGCATTTAAGTAAAATTAAGTAAATTAATTTTACAGTAGTGTTCAGTTAATTTTTTTGTAGTAAAGAGCTTAATAATTTATTCCGTTTATAACACACCTTTTAAATAAGACCCTGGTTGTCCAAATATAGTGGGACTGCATACCATAAATTAAAGGTACCTGGTGTCGAGCGATTTCAATAATCACTTTTTCTGCTTTTCTTAATTCCCTAATAGTACAACATGTCACACCCCCCGCAAGAAAAGTGACTCAAGTCAAAAACAATAAATTGTCTAGGAGAGTAAAAATAAAAACTTTAAAAATGTTCTTTAAATACAGATTGCTGTGTTAATTTATAAATAACTCTTGGAACACATGAACTTGTTTTTGTGTGTTGTCTTTTGGATATAAAATTACTATTAAGACTTAAGAGCATCCAGAACCCCCAAACTGAATTTTTTTTTGTTTTTTTTTTATGTTTTTTGGTTGGGGACCTTTTTTTTAGAAACTTTAATTGAAGTAGTGGAGGAAAAATTTTTGCTTCAGGACCTTTTTTTTTTAGAAGAAGCAGAGGAAGAATTGAGGATTTTTTTAGAAACTCAATTCAACTAGAAGAGGAAAAGTTTTGTTTGAAGAGCTGTTTTTTGTCACGGGACCCGATCTAGAAAATTGTCCTGGGGCCCGGCCTGGCTCTCGGCGGCCCTGAAAATAAGCCCAAGAATACAGTGAAATAAAACTATCGATATAACTTTGCGAGCTGTGATTTGAACGGATCAGTTCCAAATAGTCGTCTCTCTTTCTTCCTTCAATTCCTGATTTTCTAGAGTAAGCTTTTTTCGAAACAAAAGGAGATTGGAGTTATTTCTTTTAAATTTCAATTTCTCCATATTCTAGGTCCTTGTAAGATAGTTTGAAACGAAATGAATCTGGTCTAGACTTTTTAAACCTTAGAACTTTGAAATTAGTCATTTTTATAGAGTTAACAGTGACATTTTTAGCGTAGTTATTACCTGTCATGCTACTCAAAGAAACCTGAATGACTCACTTCGTTTACCTGGTATGGATAGCCTCGTTTCTTGGCTGTTCGTATTATAGTGACATATTGTTGCGAAATAATACCTTTTATTTTTAGTGTTTTAACTGCGTGCAGGAACATTGCAATGATATACCGATTTTTGTTCTTCCCGCAACTATTATTAGAGTAGAAGGTAAATTCCAAATTATTATTATAATTAATTTCGGAAGCATTATTCTCCAAATACTTCAATACGCAAGAGCCTATTTCATTAGCGCCACGATGTCCTTCGCCCTCGTGCCAAATCAATCGTGCCAAAAAAAAACATTCTATAGCATCATTGCCAACTTCGCAAATTGTAAAATTGTAAGAGTTTATTTTTGATTTGTAGTAGGGTATTGACAAATTTCCTTTTGGACGCGGCATGACCGCTTGGAAGTCAAATGTAGCCAAGACAAAATTATCACATTTTTTATCCTCTTCTTTAGATTCATGGCTCAATTTTTTTTCTTCCTGATGTTTCTCGTACTTTTTCTTTGTACATGGTATATCTGGTGCGTTTTTATAAGATTCACACAAATTGCACACATCTTTATGGCAAAAAAAATTAAATATTAAACTCATTAAAAATACGTAAGTAGGTACATCATAAGATTTGCAGCTGGTTGGTTTTTTCGGCCTGTTATTTAACATAGTCTCTGTGTAAGTCAGCTAAACTTTTATCACCATCTATATACTCTCTGGAAGTATTGACACGAAGGTAATGGCTTTCCATACGCGGTATGGAGTTGATGTGGTTCCTTACTGATTCTTTTATGATAGGTTCTACTGTGAAATGATTAGTGAGTTTTCCTCCCTTCTCTGATTCAAGAAATCCATTTTCCTTTTTTTGCAGAACTGTTCTTATTGGTTTGTCATTGATTTCTAACGTATTCTTAAAGAAATAGTTTGCAAACTCACTTTTTTCGACTCTATCTGGAAGTAGAATGCGTTATGCAATTTCCTGTGATATTCCCAGCAATAAAAGACCGTTGCAGTTTTAAGTTGCCAAGTGACCAGTACTTTTTCCTTTAATCTTCTGAAATCTTGGTTGATCATGAAAGTTTGCATTTGTCTGTACATGGTGCTAGAATTTCCCAGGCTGTGAATATTTCCAACGACTTAAAAACAAATTGGTATTTCTTTCCCACATTTCTGAGTCGCTTTATTGTCTCTTTTTTTCTTTCTGGGATTCTAATTGCTCTCTTTTTACCACGTTTAGGAGGCGAACTTTCAGCAGACGTAATGAGTGACCTATTTTGTTCAGAATCTGATGATGACCCATCACTTGAGGTTGACTTGGCAAAAGAAAAGTTAGGATCGTCTATTGAATCATAGCTCAGATTTAATAAAGCATCGCTTTTATCTGATACGGATTCTGAATTCTCATTAGCAGAAACTTCAGATACTGCATCAGTTTTTACATTTCTTAAGACGAATTTTGTTTCTGTGTTCTCATTAGTTTCCATAGTATACTGTTGCGAATTATCTGCCAGAGATGAGGATTTAGCAGATTCACTATTTTCAGCTTCAACATAATTGGGTCTTGTAACATCAATTATTTCATTACTATCCAGTAAACTGACAACAGGCGTTTCTAAGGCATCGGTGTTATTTTCATCCACCAAGCACGAGCGTAAAATTCTTGAAGCCCGAGAAGACGAATTCATTTTATCTGAAACAAGTAAGCATTGTTATTTTCTATAACTGCCACATAAAATATTTAAACAAACTATATTTATGTACAACTGATATTTAAAATGTATTTTATTGTACAGTTTTGCGACCATAAAGTAGCTCCTTATAGAAGTAGTGTAGTACTACAAAGTACATTTTGTAGTACCAGTACTATTAAATGGTTGATAATTTTAAAATTAAATAAATGTTTTAAAACAATTATTATTCTAAAAGTTTTTTGTATCTTTATATTAATTACTTATAAATAAAAAGCCATTGTACATAAAATATTGAACATAACTTATTCATAATAATTAATAGTTTGTTATGAACACTCCTGTCACAATTGCAAATTAAATTTAAATCATAACAGGAAAAGTGACATATTGCAAAATAAACAGATAATTACTTACTTGGAACAAGCAGTGTCCTAAACCAAAATATGTCTATTTGTCAGTTTCAATTTACACAGGATACAACAAGAAAAACGTCACAAACCAAAATATGTCTCTTTTTCACATTTATTTCAAACAGGATATAACACGAAAAACGTCGCAACTCAAGATATGTCGTTTTTCGTAAGCAGCGGAACAAACTCATTCCTCGGCGGTCTAAACACATCTGAAATGTGTCGCTGTTCTTGATTAAAAAAAGGCGATTGGCGGTAAAGCACAAAACGACATTAGCGACCTCTCTTGAGAATTATATAAAATTAACTTGTGACAATTTTCCTCATTGAAGATTAATATGAATTGAATATAATGGGGGTATAAAATAAAATTTGCGGGGGTACGATGTGATTTAATGCTGAAGTGTCCTGAAGTGTCAGTTTAGAGTTTAAATATTTCTTCACTTAATTTGTTGAGTATCAAAACCATTTCAAATTTGACAGTGATTATCACAAAAACGTTGATTATAAAATTAAATTTTACAAGTTTTAAGTATCAATTTTCTCAGAAAATAATTTACTTGCTAACTACGCCGATTAATCTAACAAGAGCAATAAATGCATAATTGTACGGCATAAATGCCTAGAGTTTATTAAAATATGGATTACATGTTATAAGTGTTGTTCATTGTGTGATGAAGTAACCGATGCATCTACCGGCAAAAAGAGGTTCCTTTCGTATTTATCCTTATCCCTTTCAATGGTTTTTCGAAGTGTGGCCATATGTTGCTTTAAGTTTGAGAACGCTTGTACCAAATACATATTTTAAAAGCTGTTTTATTGTTAATGCGTGCAAAAGAGACCGATATCATTTAAACGGACATGAATATATTATAACTTATTAGTCTAGGAGCTTTAAACTAATTTGCAAAGCATGGGCGCGCGCTAGTTATTAGCAATATTTTTTATCCAAAAATTATAATGACAAAAATACAAAATCTGCACCACATATGTTTTTAGAATTGTTGAATTTGTGATAATATAAATTAATTAATTTATAAGGAGAAAACAGATCATATAAAATAAAACTACTTACATATCTAGCTACACTGGCGAGCAAAAAAATGAGGTCACCTTAAAATTTTCATGTTCTTTGAAATTTTAAGTTTTCAGATCGTATTCGCAAACTGTACATTATTGCATGTGCTTTTATTAGAAATGCATTTTTTTCTTGGATTTCATGATTTATTCTGAAAAAGCAACAAATTAACATTTTGGGCGAAATTCAACATTTTGTTGTTAGAGAAAATATGGAACGAAGAAAATGAAAAAACTTGACGCTAATAACGTGTATTCCCTCCTCTTGCATTGATGACTACTTAAAGTCGGCGCGGCATACTTTAAATTAAGTTGCAGATCACATTCTGGTCGATGTTATCCCATTCCTGCAACATCAATCTTCTCAGCTCCTGGGTAGTTCTTGGTGCTGGTGTGTATCTGTGGATCCGTCGTCCCAACTCATCCCAGACATGTTCCATGAGATTCATGTCTGGGCTGCGGGCTGGCCAGTCAAACCGCCTAATTTCTACCTCATCCAGATACTCCCTGACAATTCTGGCTGTATGTGGTCTCGCATTATCTTGCATAAAAATGCCACGTTCCCCCATAGTCACCATGAAAAGCATAAAATGGTCTTCTAGCACCTCCGTAATGTACCTGTGAGAGGTTAGGAAGTCATTTTCTATGAAAATTAACTCTGTACGAGCTTGTGCGGTGATTCCCGCCCAAACCATAACTGACCCACCGCCAAATGGAAGACGCTCGTCAATGCAAACTTCAGCATATCTTTCCCCAGGTCTTCTCCACACTCGTTGACGTCCATCTGACCCAGTGAGGCAAAAACGCGACTCATCTGAGAACAATACCCAGATCCAGTCATCATCATTCCAACGAACGTGATCTCTGGTAAATATCAATCTTGCAGTTCGATGCTGACGTTGCAACGGAGGACCTGTAGCCATTCTTCTGCATCACAGTCCAGCAGCATGAAGTCTTCTTCTAACGGTCCATTCACTAATGTTGACATTTCTCACTTCTTCCAACTAATTTTGCAGTGAAACCACAGTAGCTGTCCTATTCCGCAAAGTTGTGGACACCAAAAAACGGTCATCTCGTTGAGTGGTAACTCTTTTTTGCCCAGACCCTGGTCTTCTAGTAATTAGGCCAGTCTCCAGAAAGCGCTGGTACACCCTTTGCACACCACAAAGACTAGCACCAACAATCCTTGCAGTTTTACGTTGCCCTCGACCATCTTGTAACAGCGCAACAATTCTTGCCACAACAATCGGATCTAAAGGCATTATGGGCCTGTTAAATCACTACAGTAAACTGGAAAACAGGCAAGGGAAATGTGAATGTTCAATTAGCGTAAAGGCACATTTTTCATTAAAGTCGTACAAACAGGAGGCCGTTGTATTCTAATAAAACGAATGACAGCTGTCAAGTCTCGAAAAACAATTGCTTTAATGCCTACTAATACTATTATGTCCTTATCAATATTGACGCAAAAATTATTCGCAATTTCTGAAGTGACCTCAATTTTTTGCTCGCCAGTGCATAAATGATTACAAACATAATCTACGACAGAATTGGATTGGGATTTAAAACTTTGGGTTTTAAATCATAAACGACGTATTAGAATTAAATGTAAAAACATGTGGTAAAAAGTTATTAAAAAATATATATCAAATACTAAAGAAAAACGAACAACATGAAAAATAAATCTTTCCTCATTAATATTTATATTTGGAATATTAATTAAATTATATTATTGGTGTTGGAATAGATTATAAAGACTTAATGGTCTGATTAATAATTGATGCGCTGGTTTAGAAATCAGGTCTGGGCTAGCCTGATGAATTAAATGAAATATGGTGGATGTATTTCGAATAGTTTTCTTTTTACCGTATTTTTTTCAGTTTTTATATTATGTATCGAGTTATGAAGATAAAATATTAGATAAAATTGTCGTTTAAGAAGGGTACATCAAAAAGGATCACTGTTTTTTTGTTAAGAGCAAATCAAACTGCAAACCAACCGCTTAAAAATTTCAAATTTCTTCTGTGTCTTTATTTTTATTTCGATTTTTGTGAAATATTTAGACAGTACCAATAATAACAAAACTCAGGGTGGAGAAACCTTGATTTTTTTGTAAACCTTTGAAAAGTGTTTATTTCAAAAATGTTTAATAGGAATTAAAAATAAAACATTTACGCGCTATTCTGTATTAAATCTATGAAAATTTGCTACTTTCTGTTTTAATAAATATCAACTAATCTTTAAATGAGAGGATTTCCCACCTTTTTTTTAAACGTCTCTGTCGTTACATACATTTAAAGCTTTTAATAATAATAATAATAATAATAATAATGTTGTTTATTCACATAAAACAAATATAATGTATAAAAAATGTCATTTAAAGATAAGCAAAATAAACATGAACTACACAGAAGCTGTTATGGACAGCTTGTACGTGGTAGGTATTACTAAAAAATTTAATCAAAAATTAATTCTATAATAATATGACCTAATAAATAATGAATAATGAATAAGCCCAATGGATCAGTTTCTTTGTATCTTAGACAAAATGTTAAAAATTAAATTAAATTATTTATATAATGTAATACTTGGAAAAGGGTCAAAATCGGGAATTAGTTACACTCAAGAGAAAGGTCGTAATCGAGATAGAGGATATAATCGAGATAGAGGACATAATCGAGATAGAGGACATAATCGAGATAGAGGACATAATCGAGATAGAGGACATAATCGAGAAATAGGTCGTAATCCGAAGAACAAGTCCTATTATTGGGTGAGTAAATTACAAATTTTAGGAAATTAAAGAAATTAATCGGAAAATCAGTACAGTTATTAAAAGTATGGAAAATGAATATAATAGTTTACGATAGGTAATTATTTATAACATTAGTAAATTCTTCTCGGTCTTCTTGAAGAATCCAGTTTCTTAGATGTTTTTTGAATACATTATAAGACGGTATATTTCGTATCTCTTCTGGGACTAAAATATACATTCTTGGTGCAAGATAATTGCATGTACGTTGTCCTATAGATTTTTCACTACGAGGAAAATAAACAGATTCTACTCGTCGTGTATTATACTGATGTTCATGTGATGCCAAAACAATTTTTTTTGTTTTTATAAATTGAAGAATTTTAAAAAAATATAATTGTCTTAAATCAAAAACTTTTAATTCTTTGTACAAGGAGTTACTAGAATATTGAATATCTTTGTTATAGATAATACGCAAAATCCATTTTTGCACCACATGAACATCATTCAGAAAGTTATCGTGTATTCCTCCCCAACCTATAATACCATAGACTAATAACGACTGTACCTCGTATCTCGGGACACATAGTATCGCGAAGTATTTCCAGTGTCTTAGTGATTCAAAAATTATGGAGCACAAAAGGAATGGGCCAAATTCACAAAACACCCTGTAACTCGGTTATAAAGGTCGGAAGACCCATAATATATGGGTTTTTGTAATCTTCTGGGTGACCTCCATATAGAGTTAAAATTTC